GGACACAGGTCCCCTGGCCTGATCCGCATCACTGGGCGCCACACTGCCAGGCAGCATGAAGGGCCGCAGGGCTAGGAGGGAATCCGCTCACCTGCAGTAGCCTCAGTGTCCCCTTCCCCATTGGTCAGCACGTCTGCGACAAATGCAGGGACCCGAGGACCAGCCTGGACAGAGGAGAGCTGGTGCACAGCCGCCAGGAGCGGGGCTGGGGACCTGCGGTGTGCTCTGGGGTGGGCCCCAGGACAGGGCACTCTGCCCACTGAATGACGCAGAGGGATGGCATGCCAAGAGACAGTGGGTGACCGGATGGAGTGTCCTTGACCAAGCACTTCAACTGACACCACTGCCAGCCAGGGAAGCAGCACCTGGACGCTGGCTGTCTCCAGGCAGGCTTGAGGACCAGCCCTGCTGGCCAGGTCACTCTGTGAGGACAGGCTGGTATCCATGGGGGTGGGGAGCTCAAGCACGGTGCTGCTGGGAAGTCGCAGGACTGAGCACAACAGCCCCCAACTCATCCCCACGTCCTGCAGATGGCGACCCCCCGGCACGATCCTCCCACACAGGCAGTTCTCGGCAACCCCAAGTTCCCCGTCAGAGGCGATGACCAGCCACCCGCCCACCATCTCAGGGACCCCATCTGAGAGGCACCAAGAGAAAGTCGCAACCACGTGACCCCCACCAGACGCAGGTGCAGGGTGCTGGGTTCCCAGGCCGTGCGCCAGGACGGGGTGCACCGTGGGTCATCCTGTCCCTCCTGCCTTGCACTGTGACTGTGCCAGCTGCTCCGTCACTGAGAAACGTGACAAGCAGGGTTTTAAAACAGGATGAACAAAGGAGAGCCGGAACACTGCAGGACGGGGAGGCCACCTGGACAGGGTGGGTCCTGCCAGAGTCCACAGGGCCACCAGGCTGCAACCAAAGGTACCAACCAGGGGACTTCCCTTCGGGGGCCAGTGTGGAGCCATTTCGCCGAGGTGCGTACATCTGTCAAGCCGCTCTGGCTGGTCGCTGCCCCAGGGCCGGCACTTGCAGTGCCAGCACC